ACAGCGAAGCAAAGATCTGCAGACAGCGCGGCGCTGAACGACGACCGCCGGTCATGTCGCCGGAGGCCATCGGAGTCGATCAGGAAGCCGAATATCTCCCCTGATGACTGATGACTTTGGAATCGTGGCCTCTATTCTGAAAAATTATCGTGATAAGGTTATCACTCGACCGTGAAGTGAAGCCAGAGGAAGATTCCATGGTCGTCTATCAACTGTGGACATGGGTGACTATCCTACATTATGCGGCGATTGACTGACCAACACTGCTGAATATGCGGGAGCATTAGTTGGCAGTATCACTGAATGTTGCTTGAAGCCTTCACACCGACCATCGCAATCTCCAGGTTGTAGAGTAACTGCAGCTACTAGTAGACCCAGGGACTGAAGAATCGCGGATGATACTGCTGCAACTGGAACAATAGCTACTACAGATCTCCACGTCGGTCGCTACTGCGCCCGGCTTGGCCGGTAATGCCGGCGGCAGAAAAACTGGCAGAAGTTGGTACTTTTCTGGCATAGGTATTCATGTTTGGTGTTTGGTTAAAGACGAGGAGCGGGATCAGAGGAATTGCCCGCCATAAGCTTTCTATGGTTCTGTCAATTTCACTGCCGTCTCGGAAGAAGAAAAAGCATTATCCGCCAAGAGTTATTGGTCGCCGGTTGTCGGCCATCGTGGATGCCATGAGTGACTGCTATTCACCAGGGACTCCGGGAGTCATACATACTAGGCATACCCTACGACTCCCAGTCCCTGGTATTCGCCAATGGCTGTGGCTGAGACCGTGGCTACAGTACAGGACCGTGGTCTGAATCGCTACTGAAGACGTGGCAACATACATGTACATGACATTGTACGGCAGTGTGCAGCTCCGTCTCGATATTATAGCAATGGTCGTACATAAACTTGTAGCCCTCGAGTTTCATTAGTGGGTCATGATGGCATCGGTCTTGCCCTCTTCCTTGATATCTCCGGCTGTACTGCCGTACTCTACGTATACATGTAGACGTGATAAACCATCATAATGTGCTAACCCAGTTTCTGCCTGATTGTTGTAGAAGTTTATTTAACGTCGCACCACAAACAGGCGATTTCGCCTCCTTTGATACATGTGGACGACAGAAGGAATGAGAGAGAGGGGGGGGGACAGAAGTATGGAGAGAGGAGGGTAGAAATAAACAATCAACCTCAGGGCTACACCAAAGCAAAAACGGAATGGGAACATACTATATACAAAATAGCTTCATACATATATTGCAAAACACGTTTACTATTCTTCAGTCCGCTATACCACAGAAACACACTAGCCGAAAAGCATTTAAACGGAGCCATGATACGCTTTTAGCAGGGCACAGAACTGAAGGTGGCTGGGCTCGGAACGGAGATCAGGCGGGAGCTGGTTCCACAGGACTGCGCCGATGAACTGCATGGTCGCTCGACCCGCAGGACCGGGCCAAAATGGTACTCGAACGAGGTGATGTGCTGCTCCCCGAGTGCGGTCACCAGTAACTCTCACGAAGAAGCTGGTGAAGAGGGAGCTAGCTCGGGAGAACAGACAACGACGGACAAAGATGAGGAGCTTAATGTTAAACATGTCCTCCAGGGTGGTGAGGCGGAGCTGTTCAAAGATCGGGCTCGTGCGCGACCACGGTGGCAGACCGAAGAAGCCGCGGATAGCGCACTTCGTTAGACGTGTGAGGGGCTCCATGTTGCCAATTTGAAGTGACGGATAAAAGGCGTTGGAAGCGTACGACAACCTACCCTGGATCATCGACCTGTAAAACAGGATCTTTGACGCCAGGGTGAGGCTTCGGCGGCTCCGCCACAGCGCACCTACTGACTTCCGCACCTGCTGGATTGTGTGATTGACGTGAGGCTCCCAGGAGAGCTGCCCATCTACCATTACGCCCAGGTACCGCGCTTGTTCCACAACTGCAAGGGCTGCATTCCCACAGCGAATTCGAATGTTATCTGTGTCAGGGGCTGGGCCTCTTGGGGTAATCAACAGAGCTTGCGTTTTCTTTTGGTTCAGCATTAGCCCGCGGTCCTCCAACCACTGCGACAGGCCAGTGATGGCTGTGCTTAGAGAAGAGCACACTTGTTCGCAACTGCCCGAGGCTTCAATTGCAATGTCGTCTGCAAATTCCTGGTTTGTGACCTGCTGGGGCAAGCAGCATCGAAGGTTACGGATGTATAGTGTGAACAGGAGGGGGCCGAGGACGGATCCTTGCGGCACCCCTCGACTGCATGCGACGTATTCCGAGCAATTTCCGCCCACGACTACGCGTTGAAGCCGCTCACTCAGGTAACTAGTGAACCATATCTGGACAGTACCGCCGACCCCAATGTCGGATAGCTCCTGTGCCAAGATGGTGTGTTTGACACAGTCGAAAGCCTTCGACATATCCACGAATATCACACCTGTGAGTTTGCGCTCATACTTCGCTTTCAGCCAGCGATTGACAGCTAGCACAAGAGCGTCCTCCGTACTGTGGTTCTTCCTGTACGCGAACTGCGAGTCAGGGAGAATACTGTGATCGGTCAGAAAGGATGTAAGCTGAGCTTTGACGATCTTCTCGAGGAGGCGAGAAACGACTGGTAGTAGAGAAATAGGTCGATACGCAGTAGGCTGACAAGGGTCAAGGCCGCCACCTTTGAATAGCGGCGACACATTAGCAATTTTAAACTGACGGGGAACACACCCCTGACATAACGAAGTATTGAAAATGATGCTGAGCGAGGGAGCCAGTATTGATGCCGAGTTTCTAAGGACAATACCCGGCAAGTCATCATGTCCAGTTGCTTTTGACGCGTCAACGGACTGGAGAAGGGCCGTAATGTCCTCCGTCGAAACAGGCGCAAATTCCGTGAATGCTGGTGCTTCACGTTCGGCTGGTGCGTTGGCGCACAGCGCGTCTGGTCGTCCAGGGTCATGTACAACTTCGCCAAAAGTTCGGGAGAGGATTCCAACAGGTACTTGTGGCGGGCTTGAACTTTTCGCTCGTCCAGTCACCACGTTTATCGTATTCCAGAGCTTCCGTCCATCCTTTCCGGCCGACTGTAGGCGAGCTGATTCCACGTTAGCTTGCTGATCAGTACAACTCTGTCAGGCCAGCATGTGCCTGGCGCTGATGCCAGGGACATGGAAGCCAATATCATCAGAAAGCAATGTGCGGCCACTCTGGGTGGCCTGCGGTGGGTGGAGATGTTCGGCTACTCAATCCGTCTATACCCATGCAAGCCTGTCCGGTACAAGAACTTCACATTAGCGAATATGATTGGAGGAGTCGCGGAATGCCTGCAACCTGATGTGCAAGTTGCAATTCCTGGAGCATTGGATACAGTGGCTGGTAACACCATCCCGAAGTGCATTCAATGTACATGTAGTTCCTAGCTACACGGTACCTTGAGTTTGCATTCTGCCTGCATACTAGCCTACAGTCACGGTTACCTTGGTTACATGCTGTGTGATGACACTGTTGGCTGAATTTCCTCCTTCCTGGGCATACCATGAGGCAGTCGGCCTACGCACCTGGATCCCGGCCTCGACTCGGTAGATCATCACTGAGTAATGCCAAGCAGTAACGGCACGCTAGCAGTTACTGAAGTACATGTTTGTACATTTACGTCGCCGATGGCACCCGCCCTGGCTTGCATCTGAGTTTTCCTCTCCATACGCGGCCGTATCCAAACTACATGTTTTTAACCCCTGCTCTGAGTGAGACCAACTCTTGATGAGACTGATATTCAACCAGGGCCCTGGTTGCCAATATCAGTCTCACTCACACAGTCTTACAGTTTCTTGCCTATCAGAATTCTTTCTCCAAGCCGCCCGGCGGGCCTCCCATGCATCATGTGGACCCTGGAACCGGCCTCTAACGTTAAAAGTGACCAAGTAAGTAACTGCGATCACCATACTAGTGTACATCCAGCGCGCGTTTGGTTGGTACGACCTAGAACAGGATTCACCAGAACAACACGTTTCGGGTTGGGACTGCACCTAGTTCTGGGTCGGCAGAACATGTTCTGCTTGCTCCGGCCTCGAGCAGTTTCACTGTGACTTTTTCACAGTGAAACCTGGCAGGAACATCGAACCGCGGCCGGTCTGAACTCGTTTTCAGTCTTGGCCTTTTTGGATGCCAACCGCGGAATTCATGTGCTCAGGAGCAGGGAGTAGTACAATACATTATAATACCAGGTAATACTACCAAGACTGCAAGAGTACATAAACCCTTTTTGGTTTATGTACTCTTGATACTACTCCCTGTTCAGGAGTGTGCGAGTTCAAGTAACGTTAACAGTGAGTTGTCAAGATCTTACACCATCACGTGCATGCGCACGGTTCTTGCACATGATATGATTGTAGTCGACTATAAAGTATAATACTACCTCTGTGTGGGATATCCGAGAGGCTCGAGGCCTTCTTCAAAGTTCAAGTAGTTCTGCAGTGCAGACTGCTGATGTCATTGCGAAGCCACAGCCAGGCCCAGGGCTCGTGCCACGTAGTGCGGCGCTGCAGCAGCAGCATGAGTACTCATCACTCAAAAAACCCAGCTTCAAGTTCAAGATACGTCTTGAAAAGAGAAAACTGTCACGTTGTGTCAGTGTTGTTGAATGCCAGACACTGGTGGCACACAAGACAAGACAGCTTAGTATGTGTCCAAGTGATCAGTGAGTTGAGTGAGTAGTGCCAGTGTGGCAGTGGAGTGTCGTGACAGGATCCTACACACGCAGGACAAGAACGTACTCACGACAGTAGCCGACAACGCGGACCATTAATTTTCATTTTCACCACTTCACTCCGCACGCACGTCGTCTTCTTGGACATTTTCCACTTGATATGAGTTGCCATGCCAAGTCGACTCCAAGTCCAGCGCGTCGCTACTCCACCTCCAAAAGTCCAAGATCAGACTGACGTGTGCATGTGCGAGATTTGCCGTGCATGCTCTCTCGAGCTGCACGCGACAGCCGTGCGCTTAGCATCTTTGCGCATGCTCCGATTTCCAAATGGCGGGAACAGCGAGGCAATGCAAAAAGACTCAGTGCTCAACACATCGAGCATGGCGAGTGCGAAGGTTTGAAGATTTGAAAGCTGGTTTTGAAAAGTTGCTATCCTTCGATCTCTGTGGCCAACCAGGGTCACCGGAAGCCGTTCTGGATGAGCCGCAAGGCTTCTTGTCACCAAGAACTCAGCTATAATTTTGTCTAGGAGAGACGGGCAGCGATGTCGAGTACTCCGATACGGCTTACGCCGCGGAAAACGAGCGGGCTGGTAAGAACCTGTAGTTGTGTGTAAAGTTGTGTTCGCGACTGCTGTCAGTTTACTCACTCACTCCACCGAACATGAATCTCCGAACCACTTATCATTCGTTTGAAGTCGAAGGGACCGAAGTGGTGTTCAAGCGCAGGTTGATCTTGCAAGACTACACTGCGCAAGAGATTTCTTGCCAGCTGCAGCAGTTTGGCAGGTGACCTTCTCGGTTCTGTACGACGAAAGTCATGTGTGCATTCAAATCAACATGGAGATAAAAATTTTGAGTTTGGAATGCGCCTTTGATATTCCCTGATTTTTCGATTACCCTCGTCTATTCAAACTCAAGGCCGCTATGGTGGACGATTCAAAGGTATTTTAGCTTTGCTTCTCTCGTGTATGATATCAAGCAAGTCGCGGAAGTAGTTTGTTGTGCGAACGCAAGTAAGCGGGTCTATGCGTGCGGCCAAAATACCACGTGTCTCAATCTGTGCATCCGTGGGCCCGGGAGCCTGTTCCAGTCGTCATGAATTGTAGTAATCGGCATACGACTGCCAGAACTGCTGTGTACTAGGTCCCGAGTGTGTCCGAAGTCAGGAGGCCAGTACAGTTGCCTCTGAAGGAGACATGCTGTCTATCACCCATCAGCTAAATTTAAATTTCAATATTTCAAAAAATAAGGCTCACCAGTATTCGTACTTTTAAAATTATTGGACAAAGGACGAAACAGTTCTGTCCGCAGATTGATTAAAATTATTGGATATAAAATAATTTGATAACCGCAATCAATAAAAAAATGTCTCCTCGCCGTGTGTTTAAATATAAAATAATAATAATAATTATAGTGTGTCCATGTGCTCAGGGTATGCTGGTGCCCGTAAGATCAGCGCTGAATGCCTCACCTTGATCGCAATCGTGTTGCCACTTTTGCCAATGTTGCCATGTCACACAGATAAGATTACAAATTCTGGCATGCGAAACGCAGTAATGACGCTGTTCGTGTTGTCCAATCGCCTGTGCCATTTTGTGCGTGTCGCGTATTACGTCAGCGTGACAGCAGAGTTGCTGTTCTGTCTACTACACTTATACTTTATGTCCTACATGTACTGTGCTGTACATATTACGCGGTAAAGCCTCCCGTTAATAGGCTCCCACAGGCTTTGGTCAATCCTTAAATTAACCGTTGTGAAGGAAAACAGCGGTGGTGATGATGGGAGCAGCGAGGACTTATACTTTATCCTAGCTGGTACCTGTGCTCCATGTTGTCAACTGGTTTCTCCGTCAAACAATCACCAGATAATGTGCATGTACAGTAAAACCTGCTCTAACCGGACGCCCTTGGCCTTGGTGCAGCGGAAACTGCCCTGATATGGCAGGGTTCCGCCTGATCCGGAGATGCACTCTCGATCCACAGCACTCAGTTGGTGCATGGACATTGGTCCGGTCAATACAGGATTGCGCTAGGTACAGGGTCCGGCAAACACCCGTTTTTACTGTATGTACTGATACAGATGGTGCAAAGACTACGCTATTCATGACGTGTGTATGGTAGTTGCTGGCTCTCTCGATGTCAGAGGCTCAGAGCCGAATGCGTAGCAGAAGCATGTCGCCGTGCAGTTTGCTCACGGCAGCCAAATAGCCTCCTCGTTGCTGTGCACATGTCTTGCAGCCTGTGTACGTGTCCTTGCGTTCTGGCTTGGCCGCCCCGGTATCAATGCGGACGAAGTAGCACTGTGGTAGGGGACTCCCCCCCCCCCCCCCCTCTTTCTCCCACGCGCGCATGTGCACGAAAAACCATAGAAATACACGCCTCCATATCTAGCCTCCGACCATCCAAGAACACGCAACTCATTGGTTGAGAAAGCTGACGTGTATAGACAGCCCTGCGTGTTAAACAAGTGGACTTGGAGCTCAACTTGTTTGGCCCGTCGCGCGACCATCGGGTCGCATCGTGCTTTTGCATCGCCGAAAATGAAGTATAAACCGGCCTTTAGTCTGTGTGCTCGCTTCCCAGTGTATGTGCTCTGCTGTCTTCATGTCTCTCTTCATCTTTGACGGCTGCAGAGTTAGCAATATGTTTAGTGTGTTTGTATGTGCCCGGCCTGGATGGTAATTCGATGCACTAAGTATTCTGATTTCATGTTCCTATGTTCGGATGTATGTGCCTATGTGTGTGTGTGTGTGTGTGTGTGTGTGCGTGTGCGTGCGTGCGTGCGCGTGTACATGTGTATACGTGTGTGTGTGTACGCGCATGTGTTCACCACAGCACCGCATCAGGAAGAAAAGCCGTCGGATGGCAGAGTCGTTCACGGAGTCTTCCCTGTCCGCAAGCATGATGGAGACGGAGGACAGTAGCGATGAAGCCGTAAGCCACAGTACTGCGCAATGAAATCCAGTCCCGTCGTTCAAGTACATGCCGGGCGTTGCGCAGCCCTACTAGACCTGCGAACTCTGGGCTGCCAAATGGTGCACGGCACACACTTGAGCAACGCAACTGGTTTTTATTGAACATCACTGTATGTTCGTCTCAGCTCTTGTAACCTCATTGTTACTGCTGTATCCTTCCATGGAATGCTTTGCGGTCGTGTTGAAGAAGTATAGATGCTTGGGCACCTGGTCGTAGTGTTTGTGCTTGCGTGTGCGTTGCTGATGCTGATGCTGGTGGGTCTCCGATGCCGGGACATCATCTGTTGCCTGTGCTTAAGTTAGGCTTTGTTTGCTGTTTGCACTCTGCTGCACTGTTTGTGACCTGGACGGTGCAGGATGATTCGCCTCAGATGTCGGCGGCTGCTCGCTCGTTGGCCTTTCTCACCACCTCATCCTCGTCTGCTGTAAGTCATTGATGCCGGTGATGTAGGCCAGCAGTGTAACATGTACCAGAGTACCGTATTTTCTGGAGTATAGTGCGCACTTTAGATGTGCTATTTTAGGCACTATGCTCCGAATATGAAATGCATGTACACTCGGACGTCTCTTATCCGGGCACCTTGGGACCGGGCACTGCCCGTATTTCAGATTTGCCCGTATCTCAGGATAACTCACCTACCATGGACCATATCATTTTTTGAAGAAGATTATTTGGAACGTATTGCACATGTTCAGGATACAAAAGGAACCCATTGGTAAAAATGTGTGGATTACATAGGTTGGCAGTGAAAAATAAGCACTTCCACACACGGAAAAAAGTTCAAAAACCTCAAATTCGAAGCATTTGTGCTATAGGAACTCAAGCTGAAGGTGCCCGGTAGAGAGACGTGCCCGTATCTGAGGCGTCCGGATAAGAGGCGTTTGAGTGTACTTCAATGAAGATTGAATTGCGCACCCCCAATGAAGATTGGGGGCGCGCGTTATACAAGGGTGCGCACTATACTCCGAAAAATACGGTACACACTGCTCTGCAATTCTACACACTGCTCTGCTATTCTACACACTGCTCTGTGATTGACTACAGGACCCGCGACCTGATTTCTGCGATCGCCATTTTCTCTTGTCGCCCACGCGCCTCATAGATTTTTTGTACGACGTGAGATATGCGCAAACACGCTGCCCACTCACTGCGTTCACTGATCTTCCTTAAAACTGTACACAGTACTACACACTGCTCTGCGATTGTACACTAGATATGCACACACTCACAGGCAGTGGAGTGATTGGTCTTTTGTGCTAGATTGTAAAAATGTGTGTGTGTGTGTGTGTGTGTGTGTGTGTGTTTTTGCATGCGGGCATGTGTGTGTTTTTCTTGACACGTGTTTTGTTTTGTTTAGCAAAATCGACCAAATGATTTATCACCGGCCGCTCCACCGGACCGACAAACGATTACGGTGAGTTACGATTACGGTGTACGTGTGTGTGTGTGTGTGTGTGTGTACGCGTGTGTGTGTGTGCGCGCGCGCGCGCATTGTGGATTAGACAGTTATCTGGCGCTTGTCTTGATCGGTTTCAATCAGAATCAGATCCGCTATCGTTGCTATAAAGAGAAAATCTGTGGGTGCACATCCAGTGCATTTGCAGATTTGCGTGCTTCTCTTGCGACGGGCGTATACATGGTACATGGTAGGCGCGCGTGTGTGTGTGTGTGTGTGTGCGCGCATGCGTGTGTGTGTGTGTTTGTTTGTTTGTATATTACTTGTGCTCACGTCGTGCCTCAATTTAAAGCTCTATGTGTGGTTCGGTTGCAATGTTAGATTGAATTTTAACCTTGCCTGTATCATTCCTATGTTCTTTTGATCTTTCTTAGTGTGTTGGACGTCGTCTACATAACCTCTTGAAGTTGCCGAAGGCCTACAGGTTTTGCTGCTACGAATGGTTTTACTCTACGATAGACAAGTAAGTGCGGTGAAGAGAGACAGAGCGTGCGCGCGTGTGTGTGTGTGGTGGGGTTCTGCTGTTCGCCAGTCAACAGGGGATTGGTGTAAACCTGCTGACCTGCACGTGAGTTTGTGGCTGTGTGAGTTTTGTACATGTAGGTTAGGTGCAAACATGCACCCACACAAAATCTCTCTCTTTCTCACTCATGCACTCAACACACATAAAGCAGTTCTGCTATTTCTTTTGTGTAGCATGTCAGCACCTCCTCTGTCCTGTCTCGCTGCAGGCCTCTCTTTGAAAACGACAACGACGATTTTTCAAGTCTTCTAAAAGCCTACTTCCCCAACCTGAAGACGCGGATGCTGACCAAAGCCCAGTGGGGGCACGTGCGGAGACTAATGGGCAAGCCAAGACGGTACGTGTGTACCCTAACATGGTGTGCTAGTGTAGGCCACTGAGAAAATGATGGGCCTTGAGTTTTCTTGGAGAATAGTGAAAACCTATGCACAGGGCAGCAAATCCTAAAAAAAAACTGCAGTATGATTTCGAAAACCGGTTTTTTGAGGTTGGATTCAGCCCCGTTGGATTTTCCAAAGATCCAAATTCTATCTTTCTTTCTGAATGGACTAGTATGCTGTTTGTGTTCTATTTGGCAATATTTGGATGACTAATATGATAATGTGTGTTCTTATGTCATCGACGTCTTATCCTTAGTGACTGGTCCGTCCTCAAGTCAATGTTTACTTTGATATACAGTACTGTCGGTCGCCGAAGAACTAGCGGTCGGCCTCGTAGCCTAGACCGTTCTTATTTTCGTGTAGTGCAGTCTATGCACAAGTTGAGTCACCGTGTATACGTTTGTGTGCTGTGCCTGGTGAAATTCTAGCATGTTCGTTCTTCGGCACTCCATTCTCCGGCACCCGACAGTACTGTTCATGGCTGTACTGTATTGCAAGAATCTGACTCGATACCGACCTGGTGGCACTGCGTGACATTTTGAGCAGAAATACTCGGCACTCTGCGGTCACTGATAGACCGCCTGCTGTTTATCGTCTCACCGCAATGCTGCTAAAGCTGTATCAATTGGTGTGTGTGTGTGTGTGTGTGTGTGTGTGTGTGTGTGTGTGTGTTTACACTGCTGTGGTCTTTCGCTCGTGCAGTTGCTCGGCAGCGTTTTTGGCTCAGGAGCGGCGCTCTCTAGAGGAGAAGCGGAAACTGATCCGAACCCTCCGAGCGAACAAGGTATGCAAGGTTGATAGGTTTGAGTTGCGAAGCTGCCTGCTATCAATGCCATGCCTTATTTATTTGTTGATGATGCCACCATATTTGTAGCTCATGTCGCCGTATTTGTTGCTGCTGTCACCACAGGATATATCATCAGATTATTATTATGATATGGGTGAAGTGTAAAGTCGATGGTTTCACTTTTGCACTGACTTCACTGTGTGTGTGTGTGTTTGTGCTCCGCAGCCGGTCGGGTCGTTCAACTACAAGAACATGGAGTTGCCGCGGGAGATTCCGGCGGCGCTCACAATCGGCACCAACGTAACAGGTAGGAACTCGGTGATTTGAGCGTTACTGTGCAACCGGAAATTTTCATGGTGCAATTTTTTCGGTATTTCCCAAAATCAACGGTTCGGTAGCGTGAAAACTTCGGTAAACCAGTTTTCCAGATCCAAAAATGCATTTTGCACACTGTGTGGCATGGCATGGTTGAATTTTAGGTTGCGTTTCAGGGACTAATTTACTACACACCTCGACGTTTGCATAGCAACGCAACAATTTTGCATAGCATTTTTTTTCGTCGACAATGCAGTCTTCAGTGCACTTCCACTTATACCGTCAACAAACGCCATGCTGCCTCAAACCACGAAGCGAGGACGCCTTGTCCCTGCACATCTTGCAAAATATCTTGGTCACAGCTCCACCACTCGACTCTGCGCGAATCCATTCTTTTTTGGGATCAAATTCAGCAATCCACTTGTCCACAGTACCTTGCTTCACAGACATGCCGGCAGTGAAGAGGCTTCATCAATAAGGCTAGCAGAATTTTACAAAGATAAGTCCTGAACGGTCGAGACGCCTACTGCTAGTGAAGCAACGCGGTCTAAATCTCAAAAGCAGGTGAAGTACTTGTCGACACTCGCCTCGTGCTTCCTGGGCTGCACTTCAAGTAAGTATTAGTTAGTTAGTTTCCAAGTGCACGTTCTGCGGTGCGCATGCGGAGATAGTGTGACATATGGCCATGGTCCCGCGGCCCGCACGTGCGTATGGTGTAAAATCTACCTGCAGTGCATGCAGGCTGGACAACCACACACGCACACAGTCTAATCTAGTCACAGTGCATGGCGCGCCATCTCGTGGCGCTAAACCAGCCACACACACTGTAAAGCTAGACATGTGCATGCGCTACGCGTGCACTACAAGTCTATGTCCAGGGCCATACTTAGCTGTATGTTGTGTCGCAGTTTACCGCGACTCACTACGAACTTCGAATCGCAGACACTGTGTTTTGCGTCGCAAATTGCGATGCGATACCGGTTAAATTAGTCCCTGCGTTTTATTTTAGGTAAAATTCACCT